AATCATAACATGCCAGGTTGGCCCCTTAAAGCCTCTGATGATTTTATTCGTAGAATACGGCCTTAAGCCCAATAAGGGAAACATCATATATCCCAAAGGCCTACCTACCATGATCCCCGATAGCAATCACGGAGATAGTTCGCTGCACATGGCACTTGAAAACTTAGGACCGAAGCTGTTCCCTCTGTCTCTAAGCCCTGAACTCGAAACTCCACTGCAGAAGCCCTAAGCCCTAAGAGCGCAAACCGTACCGTAGAAACCCTAAGCCCTATGCCCTAAACTCGAAAACTTTCACCCTTGATTCGGTTTTCGACATCTTTGTCGTGCCCTCGTCCTACTACCCATTGCCTCCGCAGGCTCAGCTGCGGCGAGCATCCTGCGGCAAAGGAACTCAAAGGCCGAAGCTTCTGATTCAGGGTCGGGCGGGTAGGGTTCAGAGTTCAGGGCATAGGGTAATGTAGGTGCCTGAATAAGTAGAAGAGGGTCTTGGGGTTCCTTATTTTGTTATAGCCCCAGAGTTTCTGTAGTTGCAGTTGCGAGTAGGGGGGACCCTTGGGGATATAGACGCTCTCAATAAGCTCCTTTTTTAAGAGAGCCAGAAGTAGGTTTAAGAAGGGTCCCCCTTAAAGGGTCTCCCTCATACTACCCAAAATGTAGACACTGGTTAAGACTCATTGAAAAACTTGGGGGGGCCTGCATGACCCAACGCTAGGCTAGGGCGGCTAGTACTTCGGAGCTACCGCGGTCTCCGCAAGTCTATCCCGAAGTAATGAAGGTTTAGGGTTTAGGGTTTCAGCTTCAAGTTGATGGACACAAACATTCAAACCCAGCGAACCCGTACCCAAAAGCTCCAACCACAACCCTAAACCCTAAACCCCTAAACCCCTAACCCCTAAACCCTAAACTCCTAACCCCTAACCCCTAAACCCTGAACCTCAAAACCCTAAACCCCTAAACCCCCTAAAGGAGAAACTCCAGGTTCACAGGGGGCGCCTGTAGGGGACGGACAAAGGAGATCTGAAGCTGTGAGGACTCTGAAAGCCTTCAGCTAAAAACCTAAAAGTCTAACTGTTGATGATCTAAATCCTTTGCATTACGTTAAGGGGCTTAGGGTTTAGGGTTGAGGGTTTGATATAAATCCTTAGCATTACCTTATGCACCCTAAACTACGGGAATTATGGTATATTCCGTATAATGGGTAATGCTAAGGATTTATATCATCAACCGAAGGGAAAGCCTCAAGCTAAACCCTCAGCCCCACTCTTCACGAAGCCCTCGAACTGGAGTCCTAATGTTGAAGTACAGAGGCAGTCGTATCCCTTCTCACATCACTGCTATCAGCCATGACACAAAGGTGAGGCTCGGAACGAATTGTTTTGCGATCAGAGAAAGACGCACATGTACTCTTGTGGTCGTAAACAGCTGGCTGTTATGCTCTGCACAACACTGTACTGCTGCTTAGGGATTAGTGCGACTCTTCGGTCTTGGGCCATCAGGCCAATCTGCATGCAACAAAAGGTGCCGGCAATCCACTGCGAACATGTCACCTGGCCGTAGAGTTTCAACACTCCTCCTTGGGCTTCCCGAAATAGGAAGACCACACTCTCTCAAAGAAGCAGGCCAGCATCTTCAATATATGGAGCGTCCGCCGTGGTTCTGGCACAAATTACAAAACATTAGCTTGCGGGGCTTGTGAACATTTCGTAGCCCCCAACAACTGCACACTGTGTGGAAGTGGTCTCCATGCGCTGAAACATAAACAGGCCCCTCATGCCACTGGGGAATAATCACCTCTCGAACCTCGACTGGTCCGCCTTGAGCGGGCATGGGATCCGTCTGGATTCCGACGTCCAACGTTCTCCTTCGAGTCAAGGCTGCTCGTCCGCGTCCGACAGCAGACGAAGAGGATGTCGCAGTGGAAGTCTGTGGCCTCGAGGTTGTCTCAGCAGCCGATGAAGTAGGCTCGGCCGCATCAAGCGCCGCTAAACGCGCAGCAATCTCACGCTGCACTGTTTCCTGTAGCCGGCGATGGCGTCGGGAGGGCCGATGATCTTCATGTCCACCACAACATCGGTCCCATACATACCAAAAAGCTTCCCACATGCCAACCAAAGCCATTCCAGCAACGGCAAGCAAAGCATAAAGTTCCAAGGATCCATCCAGAGCCAAGGGTTCCGTCGGCATAGCCCTTGAGGTTTGCATCATCATACAGAGCACCATCATTCGGACTGCAGCCAACTTTGACATCTTCACCATGACGTCGATCATACCCCAGAGGCTCACCAGTTCCTCCAACCTCTGCTGAGGAAAGGACTTGGTCAACAAGTCCGCCCATTGGTATTGTCCTGCCACGTAGGTCACCGACAGGTCGTGGGACTCCACCTGTTCGTGAATGTGTGCAGCGCGCACTCGTAGATGTCGTGCCCGCCATGAGGCGGATGAGGTAGGTCGCGCTATAGTGATGGCCGCTTGGTTGTCCACGCGTAGGGTAAGCTGTCCCAGGTTCGGGGTTAACTGGGAAATGACAGCTTCAATGCTCCGAGCGAGCACCAGCCCCTCCGTAGCTGCCAACAACTCACATTCTGCTGTGCTAAGACAGACGAATGGTTGGCGAGACGATCTCCAGCTCACCGGTGAGCCGAGCCACACAGCAACAAGGCCAGAGTGGCTTCTTGCCCCTTCGGGGGCAAACGAACTGTCCGTGTAGACCTCGAACTCCGTGCTGCAGGGCCTCAAAGCCAACGCAAGGCCCTGGGTTTTCTGCAAGTAGGACCGGAGCCTCTTTGCGATCTGTAGACACCGAGGAGCAGCCTTCGATAACAAGGAACTCATGGCGCATACCACGTATGCTATATCTGGCCTGCTCCTCTGAGCAAGCCAAAGAAGCTCTCCGCATGCTCGCTGTGCCATTTTTATCTCCTCGTCGGTACCCGGACACTCGTCGCTGAAGGCGTCGAAGGTAACCAGCTCCCTCGGTGCTTGTATCGGTGACATATCCGTCGAAGGGGTTGAATGAAGACGTAGTAGTTCTCGTATGTAGGGCCGCTGGTGGATGTAAATCGCATCATAGTCCTCACTCACGGCAATTTCGCAGCCCAAGAACCTTATCTCATGCCCAGCATCCAATAGATCAAGATCGGTGGCCTTCCATGTTGAGCCGATGGCTTTGGATAACGCTCGCACCAACCACAATGGTCCACACATCAAGATATCGTCGACGTAGACGAGTATCAGGCCTTCAGGTTCTCGGTCACGGGAGACGCCAACCTCAAACACCGTCCACATATTTGGTTCAGCAACACCTTGATGTAAGGCCCATACCTTGCCCTCACCGGGAATGATCATCTTCTTCAACTTTCCATCACGAAACGACGACCATAGTTTCGGGCTTTGTCGAAGTCCGTACATCCCATGGGTAAGTTGCCATCTTTCTTCTGGGTCTGCCAAGCCAAGTTGCACTAAGGCCATAGGCGGACGAATGATATAGATGACTTCGCCTTTACCTTGAGGTAGTGGGGTCAGCATGAAGGCCCCAGTGATGTCGGTAATTCCGGCCCGCCACCGCCTCCGAGCGGTGTAGTTGAGAGCACATCGCAAGCTCTCGGCCGCTGCTCCACCTGCATATAGTTCGCCTTGATCATCAGCAGCATAATTGCCACAGCATACAATCCTTGCTTTTCTTTTGCAGATAGCGGCTTCGCTACCCGGCTCCGCCTCTGAAGATGGCGGTTTGACTGTGTACACCAGCTTCGAGGGCAACTCCTGAATGACATGACGTCCCGTAGAGCTCGAAGTTCCTGCACAGTGATCCTCTTGAACTCCTTCTCAACGACCCCGAGCTCCTTGGTAATCGCAGGTCGCCACCTCTCAATAGCAGGCTTTGTCTCCTTGGGACTCACATTGTAAGTGTTGCGGAAGGGCTCCTTCGCGTCCACAGCCTGTTGAATCAGCTGCTCTACTCCCTCCACATACTCAGGCTCCAGCTTCGCCACGCGAGGCCCATCATAGAGCCCCAGAGCTGACCAGTAACTCACATTCTTATCCATATCTGCGACATACTCCCGACTGGCCTCCTCCTCGTTGAACGTATCTAAGGCCTTGGTCAAGGGCAGCAATTCTGGTCCAGGATCATCAGAACCACAAAGCTTACGCAACAGCACCTTGCCCTCCGCGGGGTGCTCCTCCTCGGTCTCCCTTTCATCAGTCTCGGGAACATAGATAGCCCAATCCGACAATGTAGCTTCACAATCTCCCGCTGGTACAACCTCCACATCACCTCCTACACCACGAGCTCCGCCCTGTAGTGCCTCAGATGGCAAGGAAGTTGCCCTTAACACCGGTCTGGTTTCCAGTGTCCCAGCGCACTCCCAAGATTCGCCTTCTTCCCTTCCGACAGGAAACTGAAGAGACCGAAGATATTGTACATCCATTGCACTCAATTTGCTTGCACCTTGAGGGGTATACGCTGAAAGAAACCACTTGGCCTTATTCTCCTTCACGTAGGCGTGGGGAACCAACGGATCAAACACCGCCGGCCGCTTAGCAATATCCACCAAACATCCATCATACACGCGTCCATCAGCGCATTGGTGCTGGTGATCTTGAGGATGTGAACCTCCCAAAACTCTACGTTCATCACCCTGATTTTCAACCCACAACCTGTCCAAGGACTTTGTCTTCAACTCCATCACATAGTTGAGGGAGTTCCTCTCGTTGTGGCTATCCTTATGCCGTGGAATATCTTCCGCAGATTGTATGGCCAGCGTAGTCCATTGGTACTCCATTTCGGGCCAACATCGTCGAAGCTCGCGCGCCATATACTCATTGAAATAGGTTGCCACCCAAGGAAGATCCCGTCCATACCGTGTGATCCCAAGGGAACCACCATGTACATAGGCACCAATAATCATTCCAGTACCCAAAGGAGAACGTGGCACCTTCAAGTTTCCACAAGTGCCTGCAAACAACGCCAGAATACGGGCACAATCTCTTTCGGTGAACTAATCTCCTTCACATAGCTGTCGAGCAATAGCCTCAACATACTGAATCTCCCCCGTGCGCAAATACTTAACCTCCGCTCCACCATCACCAAACGGTTCATCGCAAAGAGGGGCTTCATACAACACCTCATAGTCGGGATAGTCGGACTCAAGCTTCGCCGCCACAGGGCCTTTTGTTCGTACTCGTTTGACTGGTGGTGGTAGCGCAGGAGGTGGTAGAGGAGGTTCATGGGAAGCACCTTCAGCATCATCAATCTCTACTTCATCTGGCTCCACGATAACGGGCGGCATGACCTCCTCAAGAGGAGGTGGGTCCTTGGTAACCCTGACATGGGTCGTCTGGATGAAGGTGCCGGAGTCCTTAATAATGACGTGTCCACCTCGGATGTCGGTAGATGGCCCGGCGTAGCGCCCACGGGTCCAGTGATGACCAAAGTCCTCCACCGCTCCCGTCTTGTAGCGCTTCGTCTTGACATAAACTCGAGTGCCGTAGGCCACCGGCATCATAGGAATTTCACCCAATCGCTCGCTCCTTTGCTGGGCCGCTGCATACTGTACCGCCGTAGGCCAGTGGTCTTTGCTGATCCCCGCACAGTCCAACAAAACCCTTGCTCTGCGCTTCAAGAAACGAACGCCAGACTCAGCAACTCCATTGGCAGCCGAATCAGAGCCCGAAGTGGTTGTAGGCCACATTCCTTGTCCCAGGGCCCACTTTCGGACCAAATTGCCTCTGAACTCTCCTCCCCTGTCGGAGTGGAGTCTTGTAACTGGATAGCCAAGCGCCTTCACATCCGCGACGATCCTTTGGACAGCTGGAAGCATGGTAACAGCTTTCTTGTTGTTAACGGGCACCGCAAAGTACAAGGTTGTTGTAGGGATAGGCTCCTTAAACGTTGACATCAACTCATTCCATTGCTGCTTCTCCTTGTCAACCTCAGACTCAGGAACACCACCACCCTCTGGCACATCGACAATCTCATCTTCATCTTCAGAGATCTGGTCCTCGTCCAGATCCTCTTCGAGAGGAGGTAGAGGATGTCCTCGAACTTCGCCGTGACCCTCAGCTCCTTCAACCTTCGGAATCCTGAAGGCGCCAATCACAAAGTACTTGAAAAACTTGCCGTCGGGGGACCGTCCAAATCCCTTAAGAGGGCCCACCACATCAACGCTCAAGCTATACGCCATCGGATGTGCCGTGGATCGGTGCTGGTGTCCCGCCGCGCTGTTCCTGACACAAACAGAACAGTCTCTCCTGAAGGGCTGGTGGTTGCGGGCAACATGCAAGCGCCACGCAGCTTCTGAGTTCAACTTGTATATCCTCATCTGTCCTGCAACTGGAAAGCGAGCAACAGACACATCCAACAAGCCCATCTCATCGAGGTACTCACGGGTATCCTTGCACCTGGTCCACGGAGGCCAAAGGGAGTCAGCTGGCCCCGCGTCATCATTCCATTTTTCAACCTTGTCAAGATCCTCAACAAACAAATTGACTGCTCCTCCTCCAATAACTTCTCTTGCTGCCGCCGACAATGCGTGAAGGTAGTGGACCTTGCTCCGATGAGGTGCTGCTGTAAGCTGGTCCATAGGCTTCCCCGGTGCGTCTCGTGTAACAACTGAACCCACCCGTCCATGTAGGGCCGCCCATTGTACAACCTTCCACACATCACCAAAATCACTGGTCGCCAGCAAATTGTTGAGGTTGACATACACCTGGTCGCCGAGGTAGGAAAACTGCTTCACATAGTCCTGTGTACGATCAACAGTAGGCGGATCCCATCTCACAATCCACGCCTCTGCTCTCAACAATCTTTTCCGTGCTCGGCGGTTCACGGGCAGCTGCTTGAGAAGGTCCCACACGGAGCACTCGGACTCCATGCCCACCAACTGCTCTTTGATGTTATCCTTGTAGTTGAAGAAGGCCGCCTTATCGATGGCATTGTACGCTTGGTCCTTTTCGCCAGTACGCACGTAGTTCTTGAGGTAAGACCACCAACTCGCCTTCAAGCGTGTAATTGTCCTCATGCTAGCTTGGGTGGTGTCATCCAGCTCAGCTAACTGCTGCTCCTCCAGCTGTTGTATCAACTGATACGCGGCCTTCTCGCTTATCTCAGGGCATCCATTCCTCAACACAAGGGGAATGATCTCATCGTTCGGCCCAACCAGTTGACACTCTGTTGCTGACCAGCTCAGTCTATAGCCAAGGGTGGTTATCACCTTCCCAAGAGGAACTATCATTTGTGACAAGTCGTCCGTGCTGAGGAGGGTGCCGGAATCCGTCTGTTTCATCTGTATGCGGGAATCTCCTGCAAGCTGCACACTCACGTCCTTGGCTTGGTCCCATTCTCCACAATCACGCGGATGCCTCAACGGATGAGTGGCACCTGAATCCAAGAGTGCTCGTCGTGAGGTCGGTGCTCCAAACAACTTGTCATGACCCCACGCTCCCAAAGATGCCACCACAGGGCCAAATACCGGCACATTCTTGAACTCATTCAACACCCTGAACACCTTAGCCTGGATGTCCGTCACATCAAAGTTCACCCGCCGGGAAGACTCAGAGGTGGGGGTAGAGGTTGAAGTAGCTCCAGTATCGCTCGCCCCAACGGAGTCTCCTTTCGAGGCTCCCTTTTGGACAGCAGATCCTCCTCCTGGAGCCTTGCACTCCTTAGCCCGATGCCCTTGCGCCCCGCAGTTGAGGCACTTCTTTTGTCGCGTTGACTTGTCCACCAAGCTCCAAGTATGTGGGTACTTGCAGCTGTTACCCCGACGGCAACCTTTGTCGGAGGCAAAGAATCGGCACAAATTGGAAGGTGGCCTTGGAGGTGAAGGGGTTGTTGTGGATGAAGGTGGGGATGCTGGTGTAGTTGTAGTGGGATTGTCTCGCATAGGACCCATAGCCCTCAAAGCTGAGGATTCATCAGCCGTCGGCTTGGCACTGCTCAGTCTAGCCTGCTGCTCCATCTCGGCCTGGAGGTGCTGCACGAACGATGTTATAGTGCTCGCGCTCGGACAAACATCAATCTGCAATGTACTCCTGATCAAACTCACCCTGAAGGACAACTCTCCGCTTCCACGAACCACTGCACCAGTGATACGATCCAATCCACGAAGAAGTATGGAGGCATCTGGTTCAGCTATTCCAACTGAAGCTGCTCTTCTACGCCAAAGGTTCCACTTACGAAGGGCCTCCACAGCAGCCAAAGCGGTTTGGCACTCCTCCGGCTGCTCCAACATCTTGAGGATCAGGGATTTCTCTTGCAAATTTCCAGGTTGATACACCGCATAAAGTTTGCACAGCAGCGTAAGTGACGTGACCTCTCCATGAGCTATCACTTCTTCTCGCACCTGTTTGGGCACTGCGCTGAGCAACATAGCAGTTGCCCTTCTCTCCACTCTGGCCCATTCTGGCTTCAGTGGGGTTGAAGGCCGCGGTCGTAGCTGTAACCTCGCCAATGGTGCCGACGTACTGTAGGCCTGGTACCATCGGAGCACATCGTTCATTGTCGCCTCCCACCAGGCCAGACTGGTATCCGAAAGATCCTCCATTATCGGACCAATATGAGTGATCCAGTTCAAGAGGTCGATTGACCCCGTAGCCGGCTGATACTCCGCGAGGACTGGCAACTCATTGATGCCCGGCTTCACCGTCTCTGGTTTGTCCCCACGGCCACTCTGGCTCTGCTGCAAAAGCGCCTCGATTCCTCGAGCCAAGGTGATGAGAACGTCTCCTTCACCGCGACCACCAGATTGGCCAGGCTCACCTGAGGCACGGGGAGGTTGTGGTGGAGGTTGACGTGGAATTGGTAGTGTAGGGGGTTGGTGAAGTGGTAGTTGAGGAGGTTGGGGAGCACCCGATTCAACGTGATGCATGCTCCCATAAGGCTCGCTGATCCCCGGTGGCTGTTGATCCCTTGTACCACCTGCCAGACTCAGCAAACTCTGTAAAAACGCCCTTGGACCCGACGGTGATTGTGACCTGGTACGCGCATCTGACCTAGGCTCAAAAAACGGACCACGAGGAGGTAGATCTGAGGGAACTTCAGGCTGAATTCCAGCACCATATAAAATACTATCACTAACTCGTCCCCTAGGTGGATCTCGTAGGTGCCCTCCGAAACCCGGATCTTGTCCCCCTACATCAGGTAGAGGCTCGCTTACATGAGGTCGTAGAGGAACTTGTGCATCCACAACGCTTACGGGACCACGAGGAGGTAGATCTGAAGGAACTTCAGCAAGAATTCCAGAACCATAAGCTTCCCCAGGAGGCTCCGTGGGAACTGCCAGCCTCGAGGGTTCCCATGTGATTGCTGGAACCTGGTTCTCCTGCCGTTCCAATTGTTCTCGTAGTCGACGGGCCTCATCTCTTGCTTCTTCTGTTCTCCTCCTTTCCATGTTGAGCCGCTGCATGACGTCACCCATCGCGGTTTCCAACTGTCTTGCAACTTCGGCCTGAACAGCTTCTGCAGAAATGCCACCGCTACTCACAGACGCTGGCGCTGCATCTGGGCTCATAGTAGGCCTCGCAGGGGAATGATCCACGGGCGCAGAAGTCCACTGCTGAGGCTGTGCGCTGGCAGTTTGTGATCAGGAGGTCACCTCCACCCGACGCTGAATGTAGTCCCCGATGCGCGCAAACCAACTGGCTCCCCTTGTCGCACTCTGGGCACCGCCAGACACAGGAGATTGGCCAGGAAGAGGCGAAGGCTGAAACTGCGGGAAAAGCGGTTCACCCGTATTGCTGTACATAGTTCTTTCTGGTTGTGCTCCACGAGGAAAATCCACTGGAGCTGTAGCCTCGGCAGCCACCGACTGCGGATGATCAATCATTGTAAAAGAGCTGACATCTTCCAAAGCTACAGGAGGTTCCGCTGGACCTTGTAGATGTTGTCACTCCGCAGAAGGCTGCTCGGCTGCACCAAGATCTGGAGGGGCACTTCCAGTGTCCTCCGTATTCCTTCGAAGAATAACATGTCCCCGAACACCATTTGGCATCTGAGTGAGGGGAGGCTGCTCATGTACATCCGGAACTTCACGACGGGAATCTGCAGTTGCACCATCATAGTTGGGCCCCATTTCCTCGCCTTCCAGAGCGGGCAGCGTTGGGCTCATACCCTGTTGAAGTACAGAGGCAGTCGTATC